ATAGCATCCTTCCCATTTCTTTGACAATAAGCTCTGTCACTTGCTATTGGTCAATGGCCCGACTTCTTGTGTCAAAGTTCGATCAAGTTCTATGCCAAACATGACATCAACACATAGTGTGATGGCTTAGTTGGTTCAAAATGTACTGTAGATATAAAATATTGGGGGAAAATGTGTTAATGTGACACTAAGGTTTCAGTTGCACCACTGAAATGACTTTTTATAAAAATAAACAGATTTGACAAAACAATTGTTTTTTACGAGCCACACTTTCATGGCAAATGTCCCATTTCCTTTTGGTGTATTGTGGGATTTAATCATGCGAAGAGTAAAATAATGTGTCAGGGTCAGGAGGACATCGCTCTGAAACAAACTTGATCTAGCTGGAGAATGTTAATTTAGTGGGAATGCTGTTAACAGCATTCCAACCATCTGTTATGCTACGGACGAAAGGTTTATTATTATTCCGCCGGTATTTTGCCGCGCTTCTCCTCCCGCATTGAACATCGCAGAAACTCCGTTCAAACATCAAAACGTTCAGCTCGGTCGGGAATCGATGGCTATTACTTTTCTCATTCATAACTTTCATAATTCCAGAGATACATCCCATAATACATCACATTTTTAACATTGAAGTCAATGGAGGAAATCTTCAGACTTCAACAAATCTTCATGCGACTTCAACTGCTAACTGTTCATTCATACTTTCACTCAGAAACCTCATTCCAACTTTAAAATGTTACACATCTTTCTGACATTATTCGTGTAAAACAACTTTTAAATCTGTTTCTTACTTTTAGAAATATTAAACATTGTTCAGACCTTGTTTTAGAGGTTTTCTTCAGATTTTAACATTAACTAGAGTGCGTGATGTCACAGCTAGAGGGTAGGAAATCTTGAAATTTGCCTTCATATTTTTTTTTAAACTGCCATAATTCCCAAACCCTACATTCCTGAGACATAATTTTTCAAGACAAACGTAGGAAAACATCTCGTAGCTTGAAAAATGACAAATAATTAAGCAAAACAATTCAACAAAATGCCTCTTGAGGGCATGAAGTGACAAAAACGTTCAACATTCCTCCATTAAAGCCCATTGTAATTTCAGGCAGATATTTCCTCACGGTAGCAGCCGCACACCTTTAGTTAAACTGCCAAAAAGGCCACATTATTAACCCGAAACTACACAAAAATTACACTTCAGATACTCAGCTTCCTTGACATGCTTCACGTTTTGAAATTTCACAGATATCTGTTACAGTTCTTCCACAAAACGTTCACATGTAAGAGGTTTATCTCTCATTCAGAACAATGGAAACCTTTGATCTCTAACAGGTGTCATGGAACACGATGATGTCATCACTCCAACTGACATGGTTCAAGGCTGTTTCTGCATGTCAGTCTTTATGCATGACGGTGTTTTTGATAATGGATCCTGACCACTCACATGTGTACACTGTGGAGTTAAACAAATTATATTATTAAACAAATATATAAAATAAATACAAAAAATACTCTAATTTAGTCTCTTTTCCAGCGCTCTTCATCTGTAACTTTAGCATTTCTGAGTGTCCTTGAACGCATCAATAATAGCAGATGCGTCACACCAAGCCCGGGAGACTTATTCTGCTCTGACTCCTGCTAGGTAAGTTCATGTATCCATAAACACCTGAACTTGAAAGTGTCAAATTAACTCTTTTTAAAAGTATAACACACCGTTAGAGTTTGTTCATAGACTGTTTACTGGCGTGACAACTGATATTAATTCACACATTAAAGGATTCTTTCACACACACATACGGGTATTGGGCCGAGGGCGACACCGTACTTCCGGTATCTGCCATTTCACACGAGGTGTAAGCAGAATATCATAGTCTATTGCCTTAATCAATATCTAGTCAACTCTAAAATACCATATATATGCAATGGCATGATAACATTATTGTGACAAGTGGGGTATTCACCTGGTGTTTCCAGAAATTAGACGTAGATGCAGCCAAAATCGAAGAAGGCCACTTTCGAGGGTCGTTTTCCCATACATCTGCAGGCAGTCTGTAAGGGCAATACGACAACCCACACAGCTCTAGTTTACGCTGGTAACGACCTAGAGCACACCCCTCAAGTCCAGAGATGTAATCCGAAGACATGCAGCTATTTCTTCGGTTGTTAATTCAGAAAAAAAACCTAGTGCGCTCTGCCTGGTAACGTTAGCTAGCTATTTATATTTGCACCTCCAGGATATTTGCACCTCCAGGAAAATGGCGTATTTATATATATTTGTATATATATGGCGCACGTTGCATTGTGGGTAGCTCGTGACATCACTGTGTGAAAGAATACAGCTTCTAACGGGCTAAGGCTGCTAGCTGCTAGCAGCCTTAGCCCGTTAGCATTGCGGTATTTGGCTAACGCTGCTAGCTGCTAGATAAGTTCATCTCTCCCTAAACAGTTGAACTTTAAAGTGTCAAATGAACACTTTTTAAAAGTATAACACACCGTTTCAGTTTGTTCATAGACTGTTTACTGGCGTGATAACTGATATTAATTTACACATTAAAGGATACAGCTTAGCAGCTTATCCAGTCTTAGCCCTAACATGCTAACGTTAGCACACTGCGCTAATGGGAAAAGTGCCAAGCTTGTCATGTTGTTTATAGCAGCTAACTGCAGTATGACTACTCCTGTTTAGTTACCAAAGGATGCTAACAGCCAGTTATTAATGCTAACTTCAGACTTTAATTAAACATGTAACTCTTGTGCTGCAGTGCTTGTGGTGTACTGTAGTGGTACTTGTGGGTTATCTGTTGCCACTTTTGTGTTTTTGCATACTTTCTAAATATGCAAAATGAATCTTTGGGACCTGTATTAGCTGTTAAAATATACATATGTGACATGCATGAAATACATAGTAAAACTGTTTGTTTTATGCTTGCTTGTGTCTTTTTCTGGTTTGACTGCTATTATTTAATTAATATGAAACGTTGCTGTTTTTTTTCTCTTCACTTGTTTGATTTATTTAATTGATATGAATAGTTTCTGTATTTTAGATTTGTTGTTCTTCAGATTGTTATTTTCTTTAGCAATTGATGTGAAATGTTTCTATATATTGTTTGTTTTTAACTTATTCACTTGAGTGATTTTTTAATATTTATTACAACATTTGTATCAATAGTTTCTGTATATAGTTGTTTTATCACTTCACAAATGACTTTAATTATGTTCACCCATTCACCTTTTTTTCATGTATTGTTTGACAGATTTTCACCTTTTCACTCGTGTTTTTACTGAATATAATTTGTTAGTAATTGATTTGAAACGTTTTATATAATTTTTTCCCCCATGTTCTGGTTTTTGAAAATAAAATTTGCCAAATGTTACTATTTCACCAGTTCTTTTTGCATTTTCAACTTTTCCTACGAATAACATACTACATTCAAAGCCTTAAATCTTTAACATTATTTATACATTTGGAGTTTCATGCTACTTTTTAACATAATATTCATTCATATGGAAACCATTCAGTTATCCAAATATTCCTGATTATTCACTTTCTTCTTACACATTATATTTCAGCATAAAGCATTCCCACTAGCGATTTCTTCAGGAATTGCATTCTCTCGTTATGTAAACAATGTACATCATTACGCACAGGAAATAGAAGAGAAAATAGATTTTCTGAATATAGAGAAGACCCTTCAAGTACGTTAATGTGTGCAGACAGCAAAAACAAGGCGAAAGGAGAGGGATAGAACCTTAAGAGGACAACCCTAGGGGATAAGACAAATCCTGACAAGAACTACAGTCTTGGCAGGAAACTCAAAGGCACCAAGAGGATTTACTGTATGACCCTCTAGACTTTTTAAATCTAGTACTGGAGACAAGGGAGCTCTGAAAAAAATCCCTGTCCCTCCACTAACCCTAACTTCACACATTATGCATGCATTTACATATGTTCATTATTACAACTGCATCCGAGTGCAGTGATCGAGAGGAATGTTGATCTAGCTTTGCGCCCCTGTTGAGAAGCACAGATAGGTGCCGATTGGACCAGAATGTTGAAGTCAGAATTAAACATGTGAGACAGAGCTTCATCGTACCACTACTTTCAGTTCCAAGCTGTAGTTTTAATCAAACATAATTATAATCAAATCTTGAATAGGGATAGCAGTTGCGTACTTTCTTTGAACTTCGGCAAATGTTTCTTGCAGAAAGTGCTCAATTTTTGGAAGGGTAAAATAAGTCGAGGCACTCTTTATTATGCAGCTGAAAAACCTTCCATTGGGAAATGTACCTTGCACAGCTCCGCAAAATGTTATTGTTGTGTCCTGAAGATATTCCATAGTCCTTTCAACAGCCCTTAGCAATATTTCTCACACCCCCATTGTGTCAGGCCTTGATAATAAAAAAGCCACATTTTGAGGGCTGTTGCAATCAGTTCTAAAGTGTTTGTATAATGACCCACTGAATGTAGACGGTTGTTAACAATACAACTCTGTTCAATAGCTCCATGACTTCTTCTTGATTTTGACACATTTTAAACACTTTTACAAGACCACAGATTTGAGATCACGTTTGTGTAACTAAAGCCTCTAGGGACACAGGTTTATTAAGAATCTTGTGATTCCATTGTGTTTCCTTTGTATTTTACCAGCAAATGGGACTATTGGTTTTGATTTTGGCCCCTTTAATGTTTACATTTAAGGGGCCCTATTATGGTCATTTTCAGGTTCATATTTGTAATTTGTGCCGCTTTAATGATCCAAAAGTGCTTTAGTTTCTCATACTGCCTGTGCTGCAGCACCTCTTTTCACCCTCTGTCTAAAAGGTGCTCGAGTCCCGTCATTCCCTCAGCCAAAACTTAAAAAAGACAGATGAATTCATGCTACATTAACGTTCCATGTTCTAGATAAAAAATGTCCCTATTAAAAAAAACCTTAAGCTTAAAGATTCTTCTGAAAGAAAGTTACATTTTCTTTTTGAATGAAATGCAAATGATGTACCTTTAATGTTCTAGTGGGGGCCCAGCCTGTGCCGTCGATAGAGTGCTCCCGCAATAAGCTGAAATAAAATAAAGAGAAACACAGACATTTAACATTTGTGAGTATTACCAAGGAAATGTTGTTGCATCGCCAAATGTGTTTCCCAAGAAAACTCCAAGATACCGTTTATAAAATCACAAAGAAAATGGTAACATTTGCGAGAATGTTATTGAATGTCTCTAAGGGTTTGTCCATCCAATTTCAGGGACTGCAGGGGGAAATGGATATCTAGCGAAGGGAATACTATCTTTTATTTGCTTTTTCCATCAACTTCCTAGCAGGACGAATGTAGCATAGAATAATAGAAGCAAGGCATTACCTCAAACAGATCTCTCCGTTCTCTGTGATGTTAGGATGCCATATTCTGGTCAGACATCTCACTTTAGGAGGCTGGAAATAACGTGAAGAAACACAATTGTTATGGGGGTCAGATAATCTTTGTACAATACAAGTATTTACAGAAATGAGAAAATGGAGCTAAAACAAATGCTTTTGCTGCTAGTAAGTAGTGTATATAGACGTGTAAGTATATGTACATGGGCATTTTGCTTTTAGTATTTTACCAGTTTTAGAATTAACACCTAGATGTTCTGCCTTTTGTAAGCTACTCCGACATAAAAAGATAAAAATTGTGCTTTTTAGAATAGCAAAAAGATTCACATTCATCCAACATACGTAATATCGTGATAACCAAAGTTACCATTTCTCCGTGGATAATTAGTCAAATGCTCTACAAAACAATTCATTGATCATTTCAATGATGTGCTTATGCAATTTAAAAACATCAAACCCATGTTTAGTATCGACCTGCGAGGCACCCTCAGATAGACAAATGGCAAAGAATATGTAACAAGACAAAATATCAATTTCTCCTTTTGTTGATAATTATGTTAAGCCAAATACAACAGCGCTCCCAGGTAGATTACTATTTTTTGTTGGTCAACATGAAGGCTTTTATGCCTATCAGCAATAAATGTTCCATATCCAACTATGTTTTGGGGCTTTTTCTGTTGTTTGTAAGTTTGCAGGTTACAAAAAAGAATTCACTAGGGGTGTAACGGTTCGAAGAAGTCACGGTTCGGTTCATACCTCGGTTTGGGGGTCACGGTTCGGTACGGGTTCGGTACAACAAGGAAAAGCAAAAAAAAGTCCCAAAGGCATTTTTTTTAACAGTAGTGCAAGTTTTGGTATGAAAATAAGGAACTCTAACATTTGGAATCATTAACTGTATTACACAGTTAAAAACAAACCACAAACAGTAACACACACACACTCAGATGGCCATATTATTTATAATGGCTGATGTCAAACAAAAAAGGTTCAATAAGCTGTACAACTAAAACGAATGTCTTGAAAATATTTAAATAAATAATAAGAAAGTGTTTCAATCACAATCAATAAAAGGCAATACAGAACTGTATAACATCTCCTGATGTCAAAATATAAAATAAATACAATGATAAATATAAAACAAAATAAAATCTGTACCTTTAGGAGCAATGTCTAACATGTGTAATTAACTTGTGAGTGTGTGAGGCCATTATGCCTAAATAGGTACTCAAGCTTTACTCTATTTTCAAGTTGTTCTTCAAAAAGATGAGTTTGTCTACGTTGTCAGCAGTGAGGGCAGATCTGTTGGCGGTAACTATGTCACCTGCCGTCGAGAAAACCCTCTCGCTGGGGACTGAGACTGACTCGGATGTGATTAAGCATGTTTGACGTGTTACCACTAGCATACCGCACCGCTGTCGAATAACGCCGACACACCGTCCTCGTCCATCATTGTTGTAGTCCACAGGGAACCCGAAATGTTCCCACACACCTGATTTAAAAGAAGCAGGTGGGTTCTAGCTCCTGTATGTTGTGTGAACTCGCCGTAGCTATTAACTTCTCTTCTTCATGTATTGTGTTCGTTTTGTTGTGTTTTGTTCTTGTTCTTCATTTGTTATTTACGGGCGGCTGGCTTTTAGGCGCAATTCCGCCCCCTGGATTATATATAGTGTAATACTGCCCTGAGTGACAGACTGTTTTCCCAGTCGTAAAAAAAAGGCGTATTCGCCGTGTGACTGCATGTGCAGAACCGTGACGTCCGAACCGTGACGTACGAACCGTGACGGTACGGGACGAATACGGATACCGTTACACCCCTAGAATCAGGGCCGTTTCTAGCTTTTTGGGGGCCCTATGCAAGATGCTGTTTGGGGGCCCTAGTTTTGACTACAATGGGGGGGATTCCGAAGCCTTTAAAAGGTCCCATGTCATGGCCATTTCCACTGATCATAATTCCATTGTTGAGGTCTACTAGAATAGATTTATATTGTGCAATTTTCCAAAATCACTTTGGTTTCTTATACAGCATCTCTGTAAACTACGTGTATTCACTGAATTTCACTCTCTGCCTTTAACGGCTCGTTGTAGCTCCAATAGCTCCAGCCCCCACTCTCCCTGTGAGCACAGTGTGCTCTGATTGGTTGGGACGTTGTGAATCGAGCTGAGCTCCGTGGAGGTGTGGTTTCCTTGTTTAGCGATACACAGCGAAACACAGCCAAACTCACCCTGAGCACACACAAAGTTACAGCCGAAGTAAAAACAATAAGTGTGGCTTGATATTGAGTAAGAAAAAGGTTGATAAACGCTGTGAGAATGGGTCTGCAGAGAGAATTTCGCCGCGATCCCAACTGTCTGTTATCAGCCTGCAGCCAGGGAGGAGAGATCAGCAGAGCTGCATGCACTGAGTGTGTGTGTGAGGAAGTCCGTGGATTGGTCAATTTGGACCAATCAGCGGGGGCTTAACGTAACGGCTCCGCGGACGTAACGTAACGGCTCCACGGATTGGTCCATTTGGTTCCGGGTAACGCATGACATCATGAGTTACCCGGAAGAATCAATGGACAGTGACGTATCTCCAACGAGGCGTTTTGGGGAGATATTTTCTGTGTTAGAGTTTTATTCGCTACAGGGTATACTTTGAGGGTTTTGACTCTGCAGACCGTTTACATGCATAAAAACCTTCATAACACACAAGGGGACGGGTAATAACCGGAAAAGCATGACATGGGACCTTTAAGATGATCTGTGGAGATGCATCAATCTGTTACACTTTAATAGGAAAACAGGCTAATTTCACGAAAACCAAGCAATTGAAAATTACAAAAAATGATATTAAAAAGGTAAACAATAAGGCTCCTCTATGTCAATAAATGCAAGAGATGCAGCATTTTCTCAGCTGTCAGCCCAACGATGATTTAATAATAATAATTTCAATTTATATAGCGCCTTTCACGAAACCCAAGGACGCTTTACAATGGGAAGTAACAAAACAAAAAATAATAATAATCATACAGATACATAGGCTGATTTGGACTTTATTACCCCAAAAACCCAAGCCACAGTTTTGCTATCATTGCAGTTTAGTCGTGTTTATATCCTACATTGGATTTGTAAGCATAATGCTTCACCGAACACTCACAGGAGGGGGATTGGCTGTCTGCAAATAAAGACGGCTCATTTTAATTCTCCCCAAATATATTGAGGCTGAACCTGAACTTTGAATTATCTGCTCCCATCATAATCTTGGCGATCTTGTTAAAATTGTGAATGCAGAATTAAAAATACTATGTAACTGGTTTGCAGTTAATACATTATCCCTTGATGTGGCCAAAACAAATTACATGTTATTCAATACAAAGTCTGAGAGTAGAAATGACTGCATTATACGGATTTGCAATACAGAGATAGAAAAAGTTGGTGCATGTACATGTTTAGGACTGCTTGTTGAAGAAAAACTCAATTGGAAGCACTATATAAATTATGTACAGACTAAACTGTCAAAAACAATAGGTATTTTGTATCATACTAAGAACATTCTTGAAGAAAATATACTCTTTATAACAGTCTATTTCTCCCTTACCTTTAATACTGCTCCGAAATATGGGGAAACACGTACTCAACAAATCTACAAAAAATAATAACATCCCAAAAAAAAGTCTGTGGTGTTGGTAAATATGAACACACAACTCCCATATTTAAAAAAACTCAATCTATTAAAATGTGTTGAGATAGTACAGCTTAAAACAGTACTGATTATGCACAACATTTTCCATAACAAAATGCCTAATAACATTCAAAAGCAGTTCCAAACCACAGCGTGAACATATGAATGTAAAAAAGGTCACTTGAAAATAAGTGTTCACAATGTTTATATGCAATGATGCATATATTATTATTATTATTCATTTGCCAAGTGCATGTACCTATGTATATATTTATACATAGTATTTTAATTTCCAAAAAAAGATAGTTGAAACTGCTATTGAAATATGCAGAAAATGACCCTATATCTAGTTTTCGTATATATATATATATATGCATTTATTTTTTTCCTGCCCTAAGTTTTATTTAATTTTTTCTCTTGTTTTCTTAATTTTTTTGTACTCCTTCATTTCTATACTTTTTTGACGCAATAATGCCGCTGTATTAGGATGATGCACGGGAGGGCTACTTTCCACAAGCTATGCTTCAGCCCTCCCGCTTCTACTATTGTGGGGGATTGTTCATCTTTGTGTGTATGAATTAAACTTTTTTTGTTTTTCGGATGAATACAAAAAAAATACTTTCAGCTTGGGGGCCCCCTAGTGGCCCTATGCCCCTGCATAGTCCGCATATAGGAAGAAACGGCCCTGCCTAGAATTCACACAAGGTTTCTATATTAACTCAGTTTCAAAGTTTGATGATATAAAGCCATCTTACCTGTTATCAAAATGTCTGTACATTTAGAATAACATGAACATGTGGACTATTTTCAAATCAGAAAATATATGTATGCATTCTTTGGACTGCTGAGATTTCTCTAACTATGTTTTAACAGTGAAAGGTGCCCATGTGAAATGAGTATAATTATTAATCATGTAATCTGAAAATGTTCAATTCCTTTAACTACAGGGAAGCTCTGTCAGGGATAATGAAAAGTACATAGGATGTTAATAATAGTGACAGACCTCGGGAAAAGGCAAGGGAAAAAAGGTTGTTTTGATTTTTCTCAACATGCAAATGCATTTTATTGCGATCTTGTGGTTTCCTTTGGTTGAAATACACCCTCAACCTGTAATTGAATGAAACCGTGCTGCAGTACAAACTAGGTCATAATGTATTTGCACTAAATCCTAATAACAAACAGACTGCAACATCTCTTATACTGTGCACATATTTCAATAAAGTCAATTCACTTTGGCACCCTTTTCCAAATCTCAAATAAATCCAGATAGTATTTACAGCCCATATTAATTGTTCAGTTGATCCATTCTAAATTAAGATTATCTCCGAGTCATTATTAGTCATTGCTATTATTGTATTCCATCAGTTCTGGGCACTTCCCGCGCTGTGTAACGGCTAAACTCAAAAAACGTATGTTAACTTGATGGATAGAAACCCAATTACATGACAGACCTAACTTAAAGCCTGTAAGTCTGAAGGAAAATCAATGACACACTGTTTAGAAAAGTCAAGGAATGGATATTTGTAATGTGAGCTAAGACTTCAAACCAGGCAGATGACTGATTTGTTGTGCTTGTTGGGCCATTTAAACCCTCACACAGCTTTAAAAGTGACTTTATTACAGGTCATATACTGATAAAGAGTGCTTCTGAAACCATCTGAGTCATATTCTCTTACCCAAAGTCAGTCAGTTGTGTAATTCTCTACTTGAAGCCACTGGGGCCAACATTATGAATCGATTAACCTTTCATGAATGAACGTTTATTATTTATCAGTCCGTGGCAGGTGTCATAAAACTGCCACAGATGGATGAACAGAGAGAAACTGTGTGTGATAAAGGGCTCAGACAAAAGACTGAGATACAAGGCACACATACATGTTCAGGGTTACATACGGACACAAACAAAAGATACCCCCACACACACAGGCACACACTGGCACGGTGAGATAAAGGCACGAATGAATAGAAGAACAGAAAAAAACACGCAAGTCATGAAGGTCAGGTGGAAAATATGATGCGGTTATTTGAAGTCCTTCCACTAAGAGATAAGAAAATGCCACTACTTTGATATCATTTATGAATTATATTGAAAGGAAATGTGATATTAATGCCATTTGCTTACATTTCACATTACATTTAGATTTTTAGGGCACCACTACTGCGCTGGAGAATGTTTCATGCAAAGCAAATCTGGACGTTTCTATTCAAACACAGGAGGCTGCTGCCAAATGCATATATGCATAAAATACAGCACAGACTATTACTTTCCAAAATGATGAGAGATAATTGGAACGCTTACCACCATGTTATAGGCTTCTGGGACATCTATTTCAAACTGAAACCTTCCACTTTGGTAGTAGCCCTCATCTGGAAGGAAATGGAGTAAAAAAACAGAAGAGAAGGGTTTTCAATAATGAACACACAACAATAGAGTTTGTGTTTAATGACAATCATTCATGTACAAATGCTAATGGAAAGAGGGCTTTAACCATTGACATAAGTCAGGTTTCCAACAAATTGTAAAGCACATTTGTATAGAATAAAAAAAAGATGAAGCGTGTGACGGCCGTCGTTGATATGAAGGAAGTTGCATCTGAACTCAAACATGAAAGAAGACAGCGGAGATAGTCCAGCAAATGGAGAAGTAAATCTTAACCTGGGAAGTTATCTCAGGGGAGTAAAGACCTGATGTCTGACCTTTCAATGGAAACATTCTGAAGGTCAAACATAATCATGGCTTAATCCTCCATTTCAATCTCGCAATGGCGGACTTCATTACACGAACACACACACTTTCACACCTAGGCTAGTACACCACATTCATTGGGAACAGACCAATCCTGTTCTTTAAGATATGTGTCTGCAGTTTAGTCATCATTAGAAAGGTAGATTGTAGAGGGGAATGTTAATGGGCTGCTGCTCAACCAAGTGAGCTAGGCAGCAGCCCATTAACCAATCATGTTTGAGCGGGTTTTGGTTACGTGCAGATCAAAATGTAATCTCAGACCAAGCAACATTGGCTCTGTCCGACAACAATTGGGTAACGATTGGCTAAAGATAAACCATTAACTGAGTGTGAAATGGCATCTTGTGAAAAACTCTGGTCATGGACTTTGCCTTTTAACTCAGTTCTTCTTTTGCTAATCCGCAAATAAAAAAAGTACAGGCCCATCGCAAATAGAGTCTTGGCTACATCGGAACCCCCACAATATTTGAATGGTATTCAACCGGTCAAATTGTCCTCAGGCCAATATCTGACAAGTTTCAAGATTGTGCTATGAAGAGAAAACACATATGCAAGAAGAAAAACAAGTACGATATTTTTACCCACATTAAAGATACGATTTTTCTTAGTCAATTGTGGCAATTTATTCGATAGGTTACTACTAGGTTTGCAAGCTGTCTCTCTCTATCAGCCACTCTCCTCATCTCTCCCTACCTGTAGCCTTTCAAGCCAATTAAAGGTTCATAGAGGACATGGGATGTGAGGGGACTTTAATTAGTTGGATAGCTGTGATCTTATTGTGTCACGCTGTCAGAAAAGGACAGGAATAACATAGCACTTACCAATTAACACAGGATCAGTTTTGGACAAAATAAATAAGTGGACTAATCAGACCTCACACAGGTGGACTGATACTCGTGACATCCTGAGAGAGATAGACAGAAAGGGAAAGTCCTTGAAAATAAGCTGTGTAATGACATAACCTGTTTATGTACTCTATTAACTGAGCAGCCAGTATCCAATTTTGCACCTTTTGTCTAAAAGTACCTTGCTGAACTTTTGTAAATGGACTATAAAATATACTTCGGTTACATACTGTAGTTATACAAAAACACAAACATATTAAAAACACCTTAAAACATAATGCAATACAAATGTACAAAAGAAAATGGTTATTTATTGCTCTGACACGGTAACAATAGCACTTAAAAGTTGTGTTTGAGTTGAAACATTTTTATTTACACCCATTTAGCATTGGCATGCTGTTCTATTCTCATTCTCGACTATCGTCTGTGTTCTCAAACACTGAGCAATTTGAGATAAGGCCTGCTTTGTAAAAGAGCTGTCCTACCGCCCTCCCAGATACCATTCACTGCAACAAAGACAGAGGTACAATTGAATTAGACCGCACAAACAGTCCTCCCTGTATTATTAATGTGCAGAGATAGAGGGAGTGAAACACTGTGAAAAAGACATACCGCAGTTAGGCAGTACGAAGGTTCACAAAAGAAACCGCTACAGATCCAAACCAAGGGCTGGATGGATATAAAAAAAGAGAATAACAAAAAGTAACAAACTGAAAGGGCGAAAGAAAGACAGCAGACAGAAAGCATCTACTGACTAAAAGTGTCAGTCAGAGGTCAGAAATAATGAATGAGTGTCTTCAGTTTACTGGAACAATGAGTCTTTTCCAGCACAGCCCTGCATACCTGTGACAGTTGACAAGCTAGCTAGCAGAGTTTGTTCAATAACCAAATCTTTACCAACCAGAAATGCACCAATGTGAAATTTCTCAGCCGATAACAAAACAATGCCAAGATTCGCAATATAGCTGAGCCAGATACAAATGCTTATGTTTTTCGGAAAACAAGTACAACTGTTTTTCAGCCTTTCATCACATTAACTCTGAATAAGCCCAATTGGCCGTTACATTGGTGTTTCCCTGTTACATATTGCTAAATTAACAGTAACCAAACCAAAACGTTCATCCCACAACAGTATAGCAGTACTTAGTGGAACAAAAATCACAAGGATATCAAATATTATAATGTTATCCACACTCAACTTGTACTAATACACACTGATATTGCCATATGCACTCAACTCAACTTTAAGTACAGAAGTACGCAAAACAACACAATTCCAAACAGAAAGATGCTAGTTAGTTGCTTAATGGAAGCGAACCCAAATATTTGTCCAAGAATGCAAGGCACAAAATTCCCATTAGTTTTGGCTATTTGTTGGCATTTGCTAAAGGTACGGCTACGGGATGAATAGTGCTCACTGTACTCACTGTAAATGAGGAACAACTCAAATACCTAAGAGGCAGTTTCAAGAACATCACCCGAATATGCATCACGACATAATTTGGGTGATCTGCTTGGTTTTTACACAATAAACAAATCCTACCGTTCAATTGAAAGACCCACAATATGAAGCAGTCTGAGAGGACCTTTAAAATGTAAATGTAGCCTTTGTCTGGATAAACAATTTTGCCTTCTTAAGTGCATCCAAGTAAAAAAATCTGAGCAAGAAATCAGCCATCATACCAAGATGTATTAGCATAACTGTGATGTCCCCTGTAGGAATACAAGGAAGTACAGTGATGGTAGAAGGCTTGATTGGAGATGACAGGTAATTATGGTTTGTGACAGATTTCTTAAAGACGAATCCATTATTAAAAGCAAAACCGAATGGGACGGCTTATCTGGAAAAACAGCAACAAACAAGGAAGCTTCTGTATTTTGTGGTACTGACAATATAAGGCCATTACAATCAGAGAGTTGTCCTACATAAGGAGCTATATTACCTTTTTACCTTTTGTTATTTTTATACTTTGCATGGCCAGCATACTCACCGGACATGTCACCCATTGAGCATGTTTGGGATGCTCTGGATCGGCGTATACGACAGCGTGTTCCAGTTCCTGCCAATATCCAGCAACTTGGCACAGCCATTGAAGAGGAGTGGACCAACATTCCACAGGCCACAATCAACAACCTGATCAACTCTATGCGAAGGAGATGTGTTGCACTGCGTGAGGCAAATGGTGGTCACACCAGATACTGACTGTTTTTCAGACCCCCCCAATAAAGCAAAACTGCACGTTTCAGAGTGGCCTTTTATTGTGGCCAGCCTAAGGCACACCTGTGCAATAATCATGCTGTCTAATCAGCATCTTGATATGCCACACCTGTGAGGTGGGATGGATTATCTCGGCAAAGGAGAAGTGCTCACTATCACAGATCTTTTCAGATTTGTGAACAATATTTGAGAGAAATGGTTATTTTGTGTATATAGAAAATGTTTTAGATCTTTGAGTTCATCTCATGAAAAATGGGAGCAAAAACAAAAGTGTTGCATTTATATTTTTGTTCAGTGTATATTTCCCAGGACGTTGAGGGCATCCCAATACAGGAAACTCTGCAATACAAATAATACTGAAATGCAGCATGGCTATAAAACACGCTTTACCCATACAGCTGTACTGTAACTGTCACATGAGCACGTACATGCACACACCTGTGCAGAGATGAACTTTTGATGACCGCCTGTGTAACCTCATTAGCTGTCCTCCAACAGAAAAACAACCCCACCAGCACCACCAACCTCCAACAATGGCATAATCACTGAAACCCCAATGTGTAGGGGGTAATTATCTTACTATTATTTTCTTCCTTTTTTTGGCCAAGCGTCCATTTGGCAAGCCAAAATGTAAATGCTTTTGATTCTGCTCCAAAATAGGGAATCCACAAATAGACCAAGGCAAAGTGTGTCCAAGGCGGAGTCTGTTTTAGAAAGACACGAGACAAACTAAAGCATAATTCATCTCAAGTTTGAAGGTTTACAAAGCCATATAACTATAATAAGCGTATGAATACCCAAGCCCAGACATGACACACATCGTCACTCTGTGGAAAAGCTGTTAACACAAGTTTGAACTTCACAACTTGCAAGAAGAACCAAAGGTGTTACAGATATTTTTCAAATAACTGTAAGATAAGATTGCTACCTAAGATCCTTACACAAAGTATTGACTGAGTCTTTCTTTATGTGCTTTTTTTTGTTGCCAAAATGAGGTCATTGTGTGTATAAAAGAAGGACTAAACTAGGGCTATGCATTTTGCCATAAATGTAACACTCCTTCCTTTCTTATAATATGGCCATTTATAATGATTATTTTTGTTTGTAACCGCTTGCAGGTTTCTGTAGCAATGGGGACAACAACACAACTAAAACTCAAAGACAATATAATTTGCATGTCTATAGTCTTCATAATTGTTTTTCTAATATTCGAAACAATGATGTGAGAACGTGTTCACCCCAAAGTGTTGCTGCTGTCCCCATTCCTCAGAGACACAGGGGTCCGGAGCAGAGGGGTCACGACACAGAGCGTTTGCATGGGAAAAGGAAACTAATCTAAATGGAGTAACTAAAGAGACATTCCAGATGATCTGAGCTTGAAGAATATTGTTCCGTGTTTGTTTTTTATGTAGCAAACAAATGTTAGATTGATGTTAGTTAAACAACTTTTTGGTTAAATATTTAGACATAACACAGTGTAAAACAATACAATCAAACAATATTCTGCTCTCAGCCATCAGTCTCACTTCAATTAGAAATTGGCAAATAAAAATGCGTT